TGAATCAGGAGAGAAATCTGCACAGATCAAGCAGCGTTTAAACAGCTCTAAACACATATGTGGCTGGATTTTGATGTGAGAGACAACAGCAGATGCACTTTTTCACTGGAGGAAGCGTTATTATGGATAGTATTTTAGTTAAAAACATCTTGTTTCAGCTTTTGTCTTCTCCAGATGTTAACTGATGGACTGGAGTGCTGTGGATTATTGTGATGTTTTCATCAGCTGTTTGGACTCTCATTCTGACGGCACCCATTCACATCCATTGGTGAGCAAGTGATGCAATGCTACATTTCTCCAAACTTGATGAAAAAACAAACTCATCTACATCTCGGAAGGCCTGAGGGTGAGGACATTTTTAGCACATTGTCATTTTTGGGTGAACTATTCCATTAATTTGTTTTTTGGAAGGAGTTGATCCCATGGGCCACAGATTCCTTTCACTAATGCTCATGAATTTATGGGAATCCCAGATATGTTCTGCTTGAGTCTCGCAGGCCTTTTACGGTAAGGTTCTCACCGAGCTCGAGGTCTCGAATCCCCATGTAACTCTCCAGGAGGTCGTCGACCTTCTTGATGGCCTTGTCTTCGAACTCGCTGGGCTGTTGGAAGACAAACGGTTGGAGATGAGATGAAGAGCAAGCTTAAGGTTGAAAAGGCCTGGGATTTGCACCCTGACTCACGATTTCATATTTAAATCATATATTTATTATTAAATAAATAATGCTGACCGGCTTAACAATAGTGGCCTATGGCTATGTGAGCCTGGGCTATGTTTTCGGAATTACACAGCACAGCGAGAGCACACGTCGCACGAGCACATTTCTCTGAACTACACTACCCATAATGCATTTCACTCTGAACTAACCGTTACAGCTGTAGATAGTGATCTTCTTCACTGATATGACTGCGATAAGCGCGTGCTTCTGACCACACACTCATTATAATGAAAACATCGACCTTAGAAATAACGAACGTGAACACTGGGATAATCGCCGATGTATATGGCGAACCCCAGTTGAAGTGCATACACAAGAATGCTTATTTCATTTAACCAGTTTCATGTCCATTACTATCGGCGTGTCCTCAGAGTGATTACAAATGCTCTGAACTGCGTTTTGCTCCAGCTGAATAAACACAGATGCTAAATGCTGCTGCTAATATGCTTAATATTCGCTCCTGCATACAATGCAAACTGTTAACATGACACTTAGTTTAAACTAGTGATGGGCGCGGTCGAAACACTTCTTCACGAAGCTTCGAAACATTTGCGAATCTTTTGTTTCGAGTCAGTGTTTTGGAGCACGTATCAAACCGGCCAGGTCACGTGATGTTAGCAAACAAAGCTTCGTTACATCATACTGTTTCGAAACGTTTCGAAACTCCGATGGTTCACCACTAGGGGGTGTTGATCTCAAAGTGAACCCATGAACCACTTCTGGTTGCCCAGCTAATCATGTGACATGAAATCCCACGAAATTTTACTATAAAAATAAAGAATTCAAGGCCAGATGTTGTGGATTAAACAAAAGATAACTTCCCTTTAACACAGATGGCTATATAGTTTTAAAAAATGTGTAAAAACATGCAGTAGGCCTACTTTCAACCTAAAAATCACATCATACATTAAAAATTACAAAATGAGCTTACGATAGAATTAAAACCACCTCCTTCCTGAATGATAACACTACTCTTGCCTGCTGGTTTTTATTGACAGCTCTAATGAAAACACTTAATGAAATAATTACATAAATCAATTAATTCATTAATTTATTTATTTCATTGTGTGTTAAGGGTTTGATTATACTTAAATAAAACAAGCACCAATATTTAATAGTATTTAAGTGTTTATTATTTATTTTTAAAAATGTTGTTTCTAAAAAAAAACATTTCCGTTTGTTTTGTAAGTTTGGTCTGAGATTTCGATGCTTTTAAAACGTTTTCACCAGCAGGTGTCGCCAGCATGTGCTGTTTCAAGTGCATGTTTCCTTCTGGAGCATCAGTGGATGCTTGAACCTTTTTTAATAGTTGTGTTTGAGTCCCTCAATCGTCCTCAGTGTGAAAAGATGGATCTCAAAATCATACAGTCACTGCTGGAAAGGGTTCAAATATGCAAAAGATGCTGGGAAACTGAAGAATGTGCAGGAGCTGGAGAATTTTTCTGAAGAACAATGCTAAGTTTAACTGTTCAGAACAAACAAGGGACTCATGAACAACCACCACAAAACATAAAAACAGCCGTGGATCATCCAGGTAACCACACACAGTATTAAGAACCAAGGGTTCACAAACTTTTGAAGGGGGTTATTTTAATAATTTCAGCTTTTTTTTTTTTTTGTCTTGTGGACTATATGTAAACATCTTTTATGTAAAATATCTTACTCGGGACAGTACTAAATAAAAAATAACATGCATTTTGTATGATCTCTCTTATTTTGTTACAATTATTCACATTTTCACAGATTCCGCAAGGGGTTCCCAAACTTTCGCATGCCACGGTATGTATATACAGTTCTCTCCATTTATTTTCAGGAAGCTTCTTATTTACAATATAGTTCAATTACAGTAAAGCTAAATGTTTAAAACAGGAGTTAGCTTCACTACAAGCTACAAAGAAAAAGCTCTGAAGCTGCTTGAGGAGGCGATATCGTTTTAAATATACAATGCTAAAGTAGAAAGGGTAAACTAAACTACAGTCATGCTGCTGAAAATAGCCAGGATTCACTACTTGTAGCTAGTTAGCAAGCTACAGAATTAGCAGCCAGTGGTGGCCATTTTTCCTTTGATCTTCTATGTACAAACACGGCGAGGGAATTGTGCGCACGCTCTGGAGCGTAATTACCCGCGCTTCTTTCACAACGGCTACTAATCCATCACTCTAAAGCATCCAATTAGCTAATGCTATAATGATAATCAAAGGCCTTTCGATTATTAACGGCGGTAATTGGCTGTCACAGACAGCAGAGGCTCATTCAGCGTTTGCTCAGTCTGCCAAGCGTGGCGAGATTTACATGAGTGTTTGTTTCTCTGTGGGAGGAACGTGCCTCGGCTAATTATTAGCATTAACTGCTTTGAGTCTGTAATTACCAAGCGGCAACCTCCCGCTCTCTCTCGTGAAATTACTCAGACCTGCGCACGGGGCAATAGAGTGGGGGAACTATGACGTCACTTTGTAGGCGGGATCGGCTGTTAGCATCACCCTGGTTCCCTCCACAAAAAGCCTATAGGATTTTTCCATAGGCTTTTGGATTATCGCAAAAAATAAGCTCTGTGTTCAGCCATAGTTCATTAAACTTACACGTTTTGTCCATCAAGATAATCTTCACAAAATAATATAACTTATATGAATTTTGAAGCCTAAATAAAAGCGCCAGAACTTAAAATCTAAACTTAGGCTATAAACGAACTACAGCACCACGG